CAGACTCTAGAACTCTGAGAAATAAATTTCTGTTGTTTATAAGCTTCCCAGTCTGTGGTATTTTGTCATAGCAGTATGAATGAACTAAGGTAACATTAAATAGCGATTTTAACCAAAAATTATGATGATGATATATTGGAGGATGGGAAAAGATTAAGTGTATGTATTTGGTGAAGCAGAAAATGGGCATATAAGATAGAACCACAGTTCCAATAGTTGAAAGTCAATAGAGGCCGGGCACGGTGGTTCACACCTGTAATCCCAGCATTTTGAGAGGCCAAGGCAGGCGGATCACCTGAGGTCAGGTGTTCGAGACCAGCCTGGCCAACATGGTGAAACCCCCATCTTTACTAAAAATACAAAAATTAGCTGAATGCGGTGGCAGATGCCTGTAATCCCAGCTACTTAGGAGGCTGAGGCAGGAGAACCACTTGAACCCGGGAGGTGTAGGTTGCAGTGAGCTAAATCATGCCACCGCACTCCAGCCTAGATGACAAGAGCGAAACTCCATCTCAAAAAAAAAAAAAAAAAAAGTCAATAGATCATACTTAACACTGAAAAAATCAAGAAATAGTTCTATATATAATATACTTTATATATATACTTTTATATGTTACATACTTTACATATATACACTTTATATATCTATAGGAGAGAAATGTTTAAACATAGAAGTAAATAGCAGATGAAATAGCTAGAGTTGAGAGGGTTGCTTTGGGGAGTAAGAATTTAGGATGGGGTAACAGACTGCTTTTACATTATAAAACTAGTAATACTTTTTTGTCCCTATAAATGTTGTGGTTTGCTAAACAATATAAATCAAATATATCCAAATAAATACATTAAATGTTTGGCAAAAAAAAACCCCTGCAGGACTTGCTTACTGGTGGTTTGGATGTTACCGGATTGGATTGAGAGGAAGAGAGAAGGAATCTAGGATGATCCTTGGGCTCTTGCTTGAACAAGTGGATGATGACGACATCTGTTGAGAAGGAAAAGGCTGGAGGAGCATTGCAGTGGGAAAGCAGATATATTAACTCTGTGATGCTCACTAGACTTCCAAATGGAAGCATCAGGAAAACAGCTGGATATCCCAGTCCTGAGCAAGAGGTAAGAGGTCCAGGCTAGAAATAAAAGTAGGCTGGAAATTATTATTTGGATGGTAGACATCGACCATGGGACAAGTAAGATCATGCAGGCAGACATGACACAGGAATAATTCTATAATTTTAGGCTCAGACTAGAATCTAAGACAGTCCAATATTTAGGCGTTTGATAGTGAAAAAGGGCCTCCCAAAGTGCTGGGATTACAGGTATGAGCCACCATAGCCAGATTCAATCTACATCTTTTAAATGGGAAATTTAGTCCATTTACATTCAAGGTTATTACTTAAAATAGGTGAGGACTTATTTTTGTCATTTTATGGTTTTCTAATTGTTCTGTATATTATTTGTTCCTTACTTCCTCTCCTATTGTTTATGTCTGGAATTGAGTGGTTTTCTGTAGTAATAAGATTTGACTGCTTTCTCTTTCTTGTTTACATATTAGCTCTACCAATTAGTTATACAGTCAGTTTTGCATGTTTTTATGATGGTGGTTATCGTCTTTTCTTCCCAATGTAAAACTCCACTGAGCATTTTTTGTACAGCTGATCCAGTGGTAATGAATTCTCTGTTTTTGCTTATCTGTGAACAGTTTTATTTCTCCTTCATTTCTGAAGAATAGCTTTACTGGGTATATATTCTTGCCTGACAGCTTTTTTCTTTCAGTACTTTGAATATACTACCCCATTCTCTCCTGGCCTATAACAGGGTTTCTGCTGGGAGAAATCCATTAGTCTAATGAGGATTCTCTTACATGTGACTTGACATTTTTCCCTTCCTGCTTTAAATTATTTCTTTGTCTTTGACTTTTGACAATGTGACTATAATGTGCTTCAGAGAGGACCTATTTGGGTTGAATCTATTTGGGGTTATTTGAGCTTCCAGATATATTCCAGCACCCAGATATCCATCTCACTCCTAAGACTTGCGGAGTCTTTCTGCTATTATTTCATTAAATATGTTTTCCTCACCTTTTCTCTTCTCTCTTCCTTCTGAAATGCCCACACTATGAATATTTGTCCAATTAATGGTGTCCCACAAATCCTGTAGGCTTTCTTCTTTTTTTTCCGTTTTGTTTTGTCTGCATGTGTGATTTCAAAAGACTTGTCTTCAAGTTTAGAAATTCTTCTGCTTGGTCTAGTCTGTTGTTAAATATCTCCATTGTATTTTTTATTTCCTTCATTGAATTCTACAGCTCTAGGATTTTTATTGGACCCTCTGTTATATACTCTGTTAAATTTCTCATTCAAATCATGAATTATTTTCCTGATTTCATTGAATTGTCTATTTGTAGTCTCTTGTGTCTCACTGAATTTCCCTACGATTATTATTTCAAATTCTTTTTCTGACATTTCATATATTTCCTTATGATTGAGATCTGTACTGGAGAATTACTGTTTTCCTTTGTAGGTGACATGCCTATCAACAGATAAATGGGTCAAGAAAAACTGGTGTATATACACACAAGGGAACACACTGTTTAGCCATTAAAAAAAAATTCTGAAATCCTAACTGGGCACAGTGGCTCATGCCTGTAATCTCAGCACTTTGGGAGGCCAAGGTAGGAGCATTTCTTGAGTCTGGAAGTTCAAGACTAGACTAAGAAACATGAGACCCCCATCTCTACAAGAAAATTTTAAAATTATCCAGGCATAGAGGCGCACTCCTTTAGTCCCAGCTACTTGGGAGGCTGAGGTGGGAGGATAACTTGAGACTGGGAGGTAAAGGCTGCAGTGAGCCATGATTGCACTACTGCAATCATGTAGTAGTGCCTGGGTGACAGACCAAAAGTGTCTCAAAAAAAAAAAAAAGAAATTCTGTCGTTTGTGGCAACATAGATGAGCTTGGAGGACATTATGTTAGGTAAAAGAAGCCAGGCACAGAAAGATAAGTAACACTGTTATCATTCATATGTGGAAGCTACAAACATTGATCCTGTAGAAGTAGAGATTAGAATACTTGTTACTAGAGGCTGGGGAGGGTAGGGGAAATAGGGGAACAGCCAAAGGTTGGTTAATGGATACAGAAGTACAGTTAGAGAGAAGAAATAAGTTTTAGTGTTTTATAGCACAATAGAGTGACTACAACCAACAGCAATTGATTGTATTATTAAAATAGCTAGAGGAGCAGATTTTGAATGTTCTCAACACAAAGAAATGATAAATGTTTGAGGTAATGGATATGCTAATTACCCTGATTTATTACATTATATTACAAATGTTACACTGTATCCCATAAATATGTGCAATCATTATTTGTCAATTAAAACTAATAATAAAGGCCAAAAATAAAATATAAAAATAAATAAAAATGTAAAAATCAAAATTACAAAATCACGTGCTTCCTTTTCACTAGAAAGGAATTTTCACTAGATATTAAGGTTACTAGGGGTTAAGAATTTTAGGCTAGGCATGGTGGGTCATATCTGTAATCCTAGCACTTTGGGAGGCCAAAGCAAGAGGATCACTTGAGCCCAGGAGTTTGAAACCGGCCTGGGTAACATAATGAGACCCTGTCTTTACCAAAAAAAAAAGTTTAAATAGCTGGGTGCGGTGGCGTGCACCTGTAGTCCCAGCTACTTAGGAGGGTGATGTGGAAGGATTGCTTGAGTGCAGGATGTTGAGGCTGCACTTAAGCCATGATCACACCACTACACTCCAGCCTAGGTGACAGAGCAAGACCCTGTCTCTAAAAAACAAATGTTTAAGAATTCTAATTCGCTTGAGCCCAGGAGTTCAAGACCAACCTGTGCAACATAGTGAGACCCCATCTCTACAAAAAATTTTTTAAATTAGCCAGGCTTGGTGGCACGTGCCTGTTGTCCCAGCTACTTGGGAGACTGAGGTGGGAAGATGGTTTGAGCCCCAGAGGCAGAGGTTCAGTGAGCTGAGATCATGCCATTGCACTCCAGCACGAGACCCTGTCTCAAAGAGGGAAAAAAAAAACACTTAGGCACCATGGTAAAACCCCTTTACAACCAAAAATACAAAAAAAAAAAAAAATAAGCCCAGCATGGTGGCGTACATCTGTAGTCCCAGCTACTCAGGAGGCTGAAGTAGGAGGACTACTTGAGCCCAGGAGGCAGAGGTTACAGTGAGGCAAGATCACACCATTGCACTCCCAGTCTGGGTGACAGAGACCTCATCTCAAAAAAATAAATTAATAAAAAAGAATTCTAATTAATATATGTAATAAAGACTACCAGATGTAGTAAAGATGAAAGAAAATAACTCAGCCGGATGTGATGGCTCAAGCCTGTAATTCTAGCACTTTGGGAGGCCAAGGCAGGTGAATCACTTAAGGCCAGGAGTTCAAGACCAGCCTGGCCAACATGGCAAAACCCTCTCTCTACTAAAAATAGAAAAAAAAATTAGCTGGGTGTTGTGGCACACACCTGTAATCCCAGCTACTTGGGAGGCTGAAGGACAAGAATCATTTAAACCTGAGAGGCAGAGGCTGCAGTGAACTGCTGAGATTGAACCACTGAATTTCAGCCTGGGTGACAAAGGAAGACTCTGTATCAAAAAAAAAAAGGAAGAAGAAGAAAGCAAGAAAACAACTGTATATTAAAAATGTATTTTAAAAGTAGGTGTGTTTTCAGCAAGAAAAAGTAAGGAATGTGTTTCCTTTAAAGGAAAAAGAGAATGGTGTTATCTTGAAAACAAGATGATTGTTCCAGAATAATAAAGAAGAAAACAAGTAAGACACAAACTGAACAAATATAGAGGGTTGTAAAAGATCTGCAAGAAAGGGCATATTGAGGGAAGAGCAAGATGGCAGAATAGGAGACCACTAATTGTCCTCTCCTCTCTGGCAAGCATACCAATTTAACAACTATCTACACACACAAAAAGCACCTTCATTAGAACTAAAAATCAGGTGAGCACTCATAGTACCTGGATTTAACTTCATATTGCTGAAAGAAGGGCTGAACAGGTAGGAAAAACAGTCTTAAATCGCTGACGCCATCCCTCCATCCCCCAGCAGCAGCAGCATGGTGTGGAGAGTGTTTCTGTGCAGTGGGGAGAGGGAGAGCACAGCAATTTTGAAGTACCTAACTCCGTGGTGCCCTGTTATAGCAGAAAACAAAACCAGACCAAACTCAGTTAATGCCCACCCATGGGGGGAGCGTTTAAAGCAGCCCTAGCCAGAGGGGAATTGCCAATCCCAGCAGTGTGAACTTGAGTCCCTACAAGCCTCGCCACAATGGGCTAAAGTGCTCTGGGGCTCTAAAGAAACTTGAAAGGCAGCCTAGGCCACAAGGACTGCAACTCCTAGGCGAGTCCTAGTGCTGAACTGAGCCCAAAGTCATTGGACTGCGGAGACACACAACTTACTGGGACATCAGCTGGGGTGGCTAAAGGAGTGTTGATACCAGGCAGTTTTAAAAAACTAAAGTTGATGGATATAAAGTCAGTAAAGCCCCTTGGATATTACCAAAGCTCTGACTAAAATATCGTATTTTAAAACTTACGTAGAATTAATACCTGTGTTGCATTTATATAAACAGATCTACCTTGATGAAACTAGACTTACTCTGTTAAAAAAAATTTAACTGTGACTATTTTTTATAAAAATGAGAGTGACTATTAAAAAGGCTACATTTCAATAGAAAACTGTAGAGCACCAATTACCAAATTCTAATCCTGTTTAAGATTTGTTATCCATCTATAAACTGGATTGAATCCTGAAGTTCTCTAGTTTCATTAAAAACTAAAACTGCCCTTTTCTCAAGTCCTAAAAGCTGAAACTGAATGACTTCAAACTTCAGAAAAAATAACTGCAACAGACCATGTATAGACAACCTTTATGCCTGCTGCTATATGAGTTCAGCAGAACACCACCTGATGACACAGCCAGCTCTCAAATGCCATCTCCATTCCACCATCTAGATACTTCAAACTCAAATCTATAAATCTTGACCCTCCAGACACAAAGACTAAGGTCACAATTTGCTCCAAATATTAATCTTTGTTTTTCCTTTGTTTTCATAGAATAATAACTTGAATTCTCTTCAAGCAATATAATCTGAAATGAACAATTTAGCCTCAAAAGTACTCCAAAACAGAAGTGCTTGACACCGCACAGTTTAACAAAGAAGAGCTTGTGCTTTTATTGATTTTTAAAAAGTTTTACCACGGACGGTGGCTCACACTTATAATCCCAGCACTTTGGGAGGCCAAGGTGGGCAGATCATTTGAGCCTAGAGCTTTGAAACCCCATCTCCAAAAAAAATACAAAAATTAGCCAGGTGTGGTGGCACATGCCTGTAATCCTAGCTACTTGGGAGGCTGAGGTGGGAGGATCCCTTGTGCCTAGGAGGTCAAGGCTGCAATGAGCCTTGATTGCACCACTGCACCCTAGCCTGGGTAACAGAGTGAGACTCTGTCTCAAAAAAAAAAAATGTTGTTTCTGTGTCAATAAATTAGAAATTATTGCCCCACAGGATAACTGGAAAGCCACATAAAGGAGAATGAAACTGAATCCTCATCTCTCATCTTAAACAAAAAACAACTCAAGATGGATCAGGGACTTAAATCTTAAGACCTGAAACTATAAAACTTCTAGAAGATAACACTGGGGAAAAAACCCTTCTAGACATTGGCTTAGGCAAAGACTTCATTACTAAGAACCCAAAAGCGAATGCAACAAAAACAAAGATAAATAGGTGGGACTTAATTAAACTAAAGAGCTCCTGCACAGCAAAAGGAACAGTCAGCAGCAGAGTAAACAGATAACCCACAGAGTGGGAGAAAACCTTCACAATCTATACATCCAAAAAAGGACTAATATCCAGAATCTACAGGGAACTCAAACAAATTAGCAAGAAAAAAACAAACTATCCCATCAAAAAGTGGGCTAAGGACATGAATAGACAATTCCCAAAAGAAGATATACAAATGGCCAACAAACATATGAAAAAATGCTCAACATCACTAATGATCAGGGAAATGCAAATTAAAACCACAGCGTGATAAATCCTTATTGTTGCAAGAATGGCCATAATCAAAAAATAATAGATGTTGGTGTGGATGCGGTGATCAGGGAACACTTCTACACTGCTGGTGGGAATGTAAACTAGTACAACCACTGTGGAAAACCAGGTGGAAATTCCTTAAAGAGCTAAAAGTAGAACTACCATTTGATCCAGCAATCCCACCACTGAGTACCCAGAAAATAAGTCATTATACAAAAAAGATACTTGCACACACGTTTATAGCAACAGAATTCACAATTGCAGAAATATGGAACCAACCCAAATGCTCATCAATCAACGAGTGGATATATATGATGGAATACTACTCAGTCATAAAAAGGAGTTAATGGATTTGTAGCAACCTGGATGGAACTGGAGACTATTATTCTAAGTGAAGTAACTCAGGAATGGAAAACCAAATATCATATGTTCTCACTCGTAAGTGGGAGCTAAGCTATGAGGATGCAAAGTCACAAGAATGATACGATGGACTTTGGGGACTCAGGGAAAAGGGTGGGAGGAAGGTGAGGGATAAAAGACCACAAACTGGGTTGAGCGTACACTGTTCAGGTGATGGATGCAGCAAAATACCACAAATCATCACTAAAGAACTTACTCATGTAACCAAATACCACCTGTTCCCCCAAAAACCTATGGAAATAAATTGTTCAAAAAAGAAATTATTGCCCCCAATTCAAAGGATCTTAAACAAATTTAAGTTCCTCATCAGATAGGTGTGGTCTACCTGATCCACTGATTTATTTAATTGGTTAACTCTTGGCTTTTTGTATTTTTAGTAGAGACGGAATTTCATCATACTGGCCAGGCTGGTCTTGAACTCCTGAGCTCAATGTCTGCTCCAGAGAATTTTTCAATTCTTGGCTGTTATTCTCCTTATAATCATGATTTCCAGCTCTGTAGTCCATTGTATCCTCTCAAGGGGTTTGAATGCTTTCCAGCAGCATTCAGGTGTGAGACCCTAACCACTCACACATCAAATAATTGCTATCAGGATTAGACAACTAGAAGAATTCAACAACCCCACCACTCAAGCCTATGATGACTCTGCAACTGCAGATAATGATGACTACCTGACCTTCCATTCCAACGCAACTGTTGAGAATGACATCTACACGATTCTTTGTTCCAGTAACTAGTCAATAATGGTAACCTGGTTACTGAGAGTAATGCTATACTGTTTGGTCATACTCTCAGCTTGCTGGGAGAATGACCAAAAGCGGGGAACTGTTAAAGTAAATTTAAAGGGATACTAGGCCTGAAGAATCCCCAAGCAGACAAAACCAGTGAGGCTTCGTTACGAGACCTAAACCTTGCTTGATTTGCAAACATAAGTGGAACTTGACGTCTTTCTTATAAATGCCTATATTAAGGAAAAACAAATCATAAGCTCAACCAGTCAGAAATAGCCAACACACTTATACTATATAACCAAGGACTTTCCAACAGGATAGGCCAAATAAGGCAATCGTATAATTGCAACCAATCAAATAATGTATTGATTTTGCTTCTGCATTTACCCCATAAATACTTGCCCCTGATGGCTTGCCGCCAGAACAGACTTCTTCAGTTTGGTGTTTGCCAATTCATCAATTGCTTCTTACTCAAATAAACTCAAAAATATTATCGTGCCTCAGATTTTTCTTTAACGTAAGGAATTAGGGGCCACACACCTGCAGCCATGAGGAATTGGAGTCTACCAACAACCTGAATGAACTTGGAAGTGGATCCTTGCCCCAAGCCTCCAGACATGAGTCCAGCCCAGCTGACACCTTGATTTTGGTCTTGTGGGACCCTGACCAGAGAACCAGCTGAGCCCACCAGGACTTCTGACCTGTAAGATAAGAAATAGATATTGTCCAAGTGCGGTGGCTCATACCTGTAATCCTAGCACTTTGGGAGGCTGACGCAGGAGGATTGCTTGAACTAAGGAGTTTGAAACCAGCCTGGGCAACATATGAGACCTCATCTCTATCATTTTTAAAAATAATAATAATAATAAAATAAATGGGTATTGTTTTTTAGCCACTAGATTTTGGGGCATGTGTTATACAGCAATAGAAAACATGGTGGGAAAATAAACGAACCAGGGAAACATAATAGAAATGCTGGGCAGTGCTGAGTATGTCCATCTGAGGTCTGTGGTCGTGAACATAAAGTGGACCTAATCAGGTGATCTGTATCTTCCAACTGCATGAGTGCAAGCACAGGGAGGTGGAGAAGATGGCTTCAGCAAGGGTCCAGGTGTTTCTGGGCAAGAGCAGCAGAGAGAAGGAGGGGCAAAAAATGAAGGAAGTTGGCAAAGGAGAGAGTCTAATGAGGCATTGTAGAGTCTGCTGTGTAAGGATGTGAAGATGCTGGCAGGTGGGCAGATGACCCACAATGAGAAAGCGACTCAAGAGGTCCAAAGTGGCAGGCCAGAGAGCTGGAAGGATCATCCACATGGCTGCAGACATCCCAAGATGACGAAGGAGAAGGGCAGAGAGGAAGACAATGGGCCAGGAGCCAGTTGTAAAGGAGATGAAGTTCCCTGAAGCCAGCAGCTGCCAGCAACAAAAGATGGCGATGCCAAAACCAAACACCAGGAGCTCCAGAGAGCAGGGCTGCTTACCAGAAGAGAGGTAAGCAAGACACTTATCCCCATCACCTGTCAATGTGACCTCACCTGGAAGCGGGCTCTGCAGGTGGAATCAAGTTAAGATGAGGTGGGCCCTAATCTAATGACTAATATCATAAAACAAGCAAAAGTTGGACACAGGGAAACAGGAGACAGAGAGAAGAAGGCCATGTGAAGATGGAGGCGGAGATTGGAGTGATGCAGTCACAAATCAACAAACACCTGAGACTCCAGAAGCTGGAAGAGGCAAGGAAGGATCTCCCCTAGAGGCTTCAGAGGGAGCATGGCCCTTCTGACACCTTGATTGCAGACTTCCAGCCTCCAGAACTAGGAGAGAATGAAGCTGTCATTTTAAACCACCTGGTCGTGGTAATTTGTATGGCAGCCCATGCAAACATATATCCCACCTCCTGACTCTGTGGCATGTGAGGGTAAGAGAAAAGCAGGCTCTGTTTCAG